GAAATTTCGGGTGAGAAATATTTTTTACTTAAATCTTAAATTTGTCTTTTCTAATTCTTTTTTAACGGGAAAAAGGAAAAGAAAAAAAAAGGTTACATATCATAGATTCTCAAAGAAAATCCCAAACCAATTCCTTAAGAATAGGCGTTAAGTTTTTCTTTAAATACAGCAAAAAAAATAATTAAAAAAAAAAATTTCTAACACATCTTTATACAGTAAGCCACTTGTATCTCACAAATGATTTTCACGACAGTTTTTCAAATCTTCCTTCAAAGTATTTTACCGCTTTTAAATCCTCTTTCTTCGTAAAGAAAGAATAGCTGTTAAAACATTATAATTACGAACAATCTTCAAACTTAACTAAACAAATATCTAAAAAAAATGAAGGAAAAATATATCAGCGATAAAAAGTTAAAATCTATAGGAAGCTTTATAACTGAAAAAAAGTTATACCAGCGAGTTTGTAAATTTTATTTTTCTAACTTTGCAATGACTTTATACTACCGGAAGAGTTGCGGTATTAAAGATTCATTAGTCGCCAAAGACGATTTGTTTTAGAAATCATTGGTTAACCAAAATGAATCGTGAATTATTGATAACCATCTGAAGTTGAAATCTTTCTTTCGACTTTATTATTCTTTTTTTTACTTCCTTACATCGTTCGCCGAAAAATACCGAAATAACTATCGAAATTTTTTACTCGAAATGGGAAAAGGATCCGATAATCAAAAAATGTTAAGAAATGATAAACATATAACAGCTGTTTTAAAAATCCCCAGTTCGAAACGCCTCGAAATTTATAGTATTACCCAACAATATACGTATGAAATACAATCAAGATTTGCAGGTTTTTTCAAAGATAAAAAAAGTCATGAAAATTCTTATAATATTGATTAATAATAAAGGTATGTTCTCATTTTTGGTTAGATAATTCTATATATTAATATTGCTTATTTTGACAAGAATTAAAGTCACTTGTAAAACAATTTTCCGGTAAAAAAGTATCAAAAAGTTTACTTTTTCCCCAGCGAAAAGAAAACAGTATTTGGTTAATATTGTCCTATGTATATACGTATAACCCTACCAAAGCCTAAATACCAAACCCTAAATGTTAAGTTAGAAGTGTCGGTAGGATAGTTCCGAAGGCTAATTTTCCGATTTGAGTTTTTGACTTTATCTTTCCGTCCACTTCACCTTAAATTAAATAAATAGAATAGATACCTTCGACTTCTGGAATCCTCTTGTAAAACAGATCTGTAGAAGCGGCGARTCAGATATTTTTTGGCAAATTGATCTTGACATATAATATTTTTTAGTTTCTTTATATTTGTTCTGCGACGAACCTAGCAAAGTCATGGATAATTAGCAGTTTGATCCCAAATATTTTCACCTGTTTTGTGATGTTCGCTCACCTCATTCGCCAACTAGAATAATCAGCCCTATACAATAGCGACTGAACACAATACGCCATAGCTACAACCTTCTTATTAAAATTAAAGTATATATCAGGAAAGCAATTCTATATTAGCAAATAAAACTGGAAGATAAAAAAAAGATCTATCTTACTATTTCTTTCTTTTGACTTCACTAGTAGGTTTATCTTGCATCGGAAAAATTATTGTATTTCCCCAAAAAGTTTGAAAAGTTGAAAGATTTTTTTAAAACAATATGAAATATTATTTGAACAATTGTAAAACTGACGTAGACTCTACGCAAGTGCTTCCATAGTTCTAGCAGATATGAGAGAAATTTAAATTTAGAAAAAGATTTAGAAAACTTTATCTGGGATACTTGCTCAAAAAGTATCAGGAATCTTTATATATTATAAAATCGAACTAAAAAAGTTCAACATTTTGTGCTTTAGATTGAAGAACTCTAGAATTGCTCTTCTATATATACTAAACCGTTCGTATGAATTCTGACGAAATTACCACTATATATACAGCCAATGTCGTTAACCTTGTCCACCGAAAAAAGACATTTACACATTTACACATTTACACGTTTACACATTTACACATTTACAGTAGATAGATAGATAATTTGTAACACCGTATGGTATGTAAAAATGAAACTGACGTTTTGGACGTTAGTCCTTTATCGGAGTAAACCATTTAAATGGTTTACTCCGATGAAGGACTAACGTCCGAAACGTCAGTTTCATTTTTACATACCATACGGTGTTACAAATTATCTATCTATCTACTGTTTTACTGAAAACACCGACGCAGTTTACACTAGTTTTCACTAGTTTTCCACCTTACACATTTACACATTAACACATTAACACATTTACACATTTACACATTTACACATTTAC